AGACTTTGGAATTTTGGGATTATGGAATTTGGGGATTGTGGAATTTGGGGATTTAGGAATTTGAGAGCTTAGGAATTCGGTAATTTAGGAATTTGTAAATTTAGGAATTCAATGACTTAGAAATTCAGAAATTTAAAACTTCAAAAACATGGAAATTTGCAAATTCAACAACCTAAAAATTCAGTAATTCAATAATTCAAAGATTCAGAATCCCATCATTTCCAAACCCCAAAAATATCAACTTATCAAACTTCACCAAAATGGCGGCCTTCACGTCAATCCTGCCAAGAACAAAAAATACACAATTTGTTCGATTCGATCTCCTAAATTTGATCACTTACGGTTATTGTGTCCGTTTCAAGCTTATACAACCTCGTACAAAAAAGGTAGCGAAAAACTTGATTGCCTCTGCTCTGATTCCCAAACAGACCATTTGGCTGTCTCCACATTTGGCACGTGTACCCTATAATCGATCGATAAACTCTCTTCCCAAAATTACCAGAATCCCTGTAGGTATAAATGGAGCAGGTCTTCGACATGCTGTTGACCCGGATATATTTTTTCCGTTTAAACGGGGCTACACACCCTCCACGAAAATAGGCTTGGTCGATCAAATGACCAACTGCTATATCTCTATTTATAGACATTTTCCCCTATCTCTAGTAGAGCGGTGTAAGTACACAGATAACGATATCTACCGCATCCTTGCATCTGAAGGAAGGTCCGATATATCGAAGGTTCGATAGTTAATCACGAAGGGTGTGGTTCTTGAACGTAATCGCTTAGCTGATATCTCGCAACCTCTTTCATCTTTATCTGACCATAAACGAACATGGAAAAATAATTGAGCTGAATTGGGGCAATAAAACGAGATCTGATAGACCAACCCATTATCTAACCGAATTTTTTGCGGGAGTGTTTGAAGATAATTATAGATACGTAGATAACGAAGCGATTAAAATTCTGTCAAATCTTTGAGAAGTGATCGATGCTTAAGCTTCATGAGATAAGTGCTATTTGCATATTAATTGCTTGCTTATATATAATTTAAGCGGTGTGTAATTACTGCTTGATGTATATGGTCAGTAGAATTAATTGAAGAATAACGTTGAAAAAATGTATGCGAAATAACGTGGTGTAGAACGTTCTTGTAGCTGCAAGTAGCAGATTTATGTTTATGCAGATTTATGCAACATTGGAAAATTGCGGCTTTTAAGGACTTCTTGTCAAGGTATCGGTCTTTAAGTATTTTCGTAAATCATTATTTTAAAAGATCAAGTTTCATTATTTTAAAAAATCACTTGAAGATTCAAAGTTAAGAATTAGTACTGAAGTAGCATATAAGTATACAGAAAATTGATAGTGAAATTGCAGTAATAATTTAATAAACTAATTTCCTAACAAAATTTATTTGAATTATTTACTATTGAAATTCTAGAGTAGACTTGTCATTTATGAATTGTAGGATTGTTTCTAGTTTGTATAACTTTATTAGTACTCTAATTTTTTGAAGACGAGTTTTGAGGTTAGGAAACCAATTCACATTTCTTCTACAACTTCTCGAGTGATGAAAATTTGTTCACTTTCCTAATTTTATTAAGTTATTCGTTTGTTAAAATGAATAATCAGTATATGATTTTGTTAACATTCATGGTTTTATTAACAGTTAGGGTTTTATTTCCAAGTCGCACGATCTCCAAAAATCAGAAACAGCCAACAATGTGTGAAACCGAGCGTAATGCTTTGTTCTGGTGAAATTCAAGTTAAAACGATGAACAATCACGATACGAATTTTTCATTCATAAGAAATATTATTTTCTCACATGGCAAGCTGTTACGTGTACATAGAAACGGTATTTTCGAAACGTTCCACGGTGTACTGTAAGAAAACGTTCCGTCGCTCTTGACGCGCGAACAATAAGCTTATTGATGGGCGTTCTTGCTTTTACTGCAATTGCTTTTATTGCAATCTCGTATTCAGAGAAAGGCACGGCATGGGAATGGTAACTCGCGCATCATTCGCTCGTGATTCCCTCTCTATTTACTTATTCATAAGTTGCTGTATTGATCCGCTCAAATCCGTCATTTTAATTAACCTTTTCCCAACAGCACTCTCGTTTATGAGTTATAGAACTGTTATCGGTTTCACTTTTACCATTAAATCGATACTATTGTATATAAGCAGTGTATTCGTATTATGTCAAGCAATTATTCACATCTGATCTTAGTCGCCATTTTATTCATTTTATGTGTAGGATAGACATGTTATCTTACAGTCGTTTCACTTGAAAATTACGTTCATATAAATTTGGTTTATTTCATACATTTTGACGATTAAAAACTTGGAAGTAAAAATAGAATATAATGTATACATATGTTTATGTACAATACCTACATACATACATTTTGATGATTCAAAACTTGGAAGTAAAAATAGAGTGTAATGTATACATATGTTTATGTACAATAACTACATACATACATTTTAACCATTGAAAACTTGGAAGTAAAAATAGAGTATAATGTATACATATGTTTATGTACAATACCTATATACATATATTTTGACAATTAAAAACTTGGAAGTAAAAATAGAGTATTATGTATACATATGTTTATGTAGAATACCTACATACATACATGAACATGATTCCTATGTCCTTATATTCCTCTTTATCTAGATCCCTATATGATTACATTCCTACATGTGTAGATCTCTGTATGTACATTTAGATCCCTAGTCTCTATTCTCACAGTATGAAATAAAAACTTAAAATTCCAGATAAAAATGTTAAAATATCCATATGTTAAAAATATCCAAATATTAAATATTAAAATATCAATATGTTAAAAATAGTAAAATATTAAATGTTAAAATATCCATCTAATAACTGAACCTCTACAGTGTCAACATTTAATTTTTCCTTAGTACCAACGCTACCAAACAAAAACATTTTAAAGCTTCCTAAAACTCCTCAAAAATAGGAATAACACCAAGATGGAAGGTTTACGAGTCACGTTCTGTGCTTCGATGTAACGCGTGAACGAGGGTGAAATAGGGAACGGAAACGAGTTGTTTACGGTCAGAACGTGGTCGATGTAAGACTCGCAGTGAAGGTCTCGAAAAGTAGGTGATTCGACGTAAGAACTTGATAGAAAAAAAGACCAGGAGATCAGTGAAACGAGAAGATAGTGGCTTGTAACGAAGTTTTCAGTTCCTATTCGATCTTTCGATTTACACAGTAACGCTCTAACGATTTTTGTTTTTGTGTCGGATGTTTTACCGAGTCATTGAATTCCGGAAATACGTATTTCGAGGTATTAAGTGGGAATCTGAGAAAAAAGAAGGGAACGGAGACTTGTCGGGTGTAGCTGCGACTATTCGTCAATGGTGGCTGGTGAAAGTACCGGATACGTTGGGAAAAAGGAGCAGAAATTGCGAAATAACTCCATGGTATACGACGATAACTTCAATCCGTAAAGTTGAGACGGTTCGAGTAAGAGAACAGGAGATACTATTTTTACAAAATTTTTTAATAGTTTTATTAATTGTTCGAATCTTAATTTTTAGGTTATTTTATATGTATTTGGTTTATTGTGTTTCGATACTAATCTGCATTTAGGCATATTTAAAATTTGTTTAAGATGTACATGAAAAGATACATAAAATAGTTTTCATTAAAATTCTCTGTTATTTAAAATAAATAATTTATAGTATGATTTCTATAAGCAAATCAAAATTACAAAGATGAAATGAACAAAGAATTTTGTACAATATTAATTCACGCAGACATTGGATTTTCACAATTATTTTTTTCACTTGTACCAAGAACGGAAATCGGTTAATTCTAAAAGAGTAACATTTCCCAGTTTGAAATCAAGATATTCCTTCATAAAACATAATTAACGAGAACGAATCGATTTTGTAATTATCTGCTGGCAATTACGGGAATTGAAGATTTAATGTAAGACGATCAGCTTAGACATTAATATCAGAAGTTTCTTCTAGACGAGCACCGTCATAAAATTATAATTAGCTTGGGTATACTTCATTTCCGTAGTAAGTTGCTGTCAGTAAAATACAAAGATTATTTCTTTGATATGGGAACAACTTTCGAGATTTGAAAATTTTTAAAATCCACAATTTTTAGGTTTTTTATTTTTCAAAATTTCAAACTCTTTATTTGAATATATAACATCAAATCATATACTCTATTTGCATTCTACTAGTATCATCAACGTATCTCACCAAATATCAATAAATAATATAGGATATTGATTATTAAAGACAGACAGGATAATCAATAATCCCGTCTCCTCGAATCTCAAATTCAACAAGAATTCTTCAACAAACCCCACAAAATCCCATAACATAAAAAGCCACTGCTGCAAAACACGCAATGAAGGGTAACACCGCGTATCATCACCATCGTTTCATCTACATCTCGCCCTTCCAACGGGCTGTTCCCGACGCTCCGACCGGAAAGGGGTTCGAAACGATCGTTTCCCCATAAACGACAGCATCGTAAATTCCGTGCGGGCACCGAAGCTCGATGGAACCATAAGTCGGTTCAACTTTAGACGGGCCGGTTTAAAATGCAGCCGCGGAAAGACGGGGCCGGAAGTGAAATAGAGAAAAACGTCGAAGCGAAAGCCGTAGACGCCGGAACGTATGGCGAAAGGGAGACGGTTATTTTCTCCGTCTGTCTCCCCCGCCTAAATTTTTTTTCTTTATTTTTCCTCTTACCTCACGCTGTAGGACCTTCCCGGTTTGGAGGTCATTGCACTGTTCGAAGCCGGGTGGTTGCAACGGGGTGGCCAACACGGATCGATTTTCCACAACGACGTTGAGGCGCCGGGAAAAATCCCCTCGTCGCTTTCTGTCCCCACCCTCCCTTCGATCTGCGGAATCCCACAGGTCTCCCACCGCCGCACAACTACGCTTCTTGGCACGTGACTGCGACGTAAAAACTCGTATTTGCTACGTCGCGAAGCGGAGCATCCTCTTCAACGGTAAAATCGATCGGGCAACCCTGCTCTGGCGCCAGACCGCCCACCTCCGATCCTTCCAGAATCGCCGCCAGGATTATTCCGTAACGACGAGATATACGTCCTTTTATTTCGAATGACGCAGCTGAAGTTTATTTACTTATCAAGGTCGTTTTGAAGTTCGCCGTAATCGAACGACGCAGATTAGTGGCCGATCCGAATGTGATCGATGGATCGACAAGTTACGTCAAGGACGGGGATCCCTCGTGGCACGAATCGCGCGCAAACAGATTCCACGTAGTCCAATGTCACGGCTCGCCACGCGGCCCTCGATCGTCTCTGTTTGCACGATCAGTTATACTTCGCCAGTGCCACCGGCAGCACGCTTTCGACTATAATCGCCGGTATTTCGCACTTCCCTCTCCTTCCGGTTCCCTCGTGATTGCGACGTGGCTTCTGGAACGATCGACCATCTTCCGATCTTTAAATCTATCTCGTTGCCCTCAGGCGAGGGCGAACCCTCTTCTCACAAACCTGGACTTCAATATCCATTCACAGATAATCTCCATAAATTGAAAACTTATTAAACTTATTAATTTCCGAAAACACTTTGAAGGTCGATAAATAAATCGTAAGATAACTACATAAATACATCGATAATATGAAACAGATGGAATGTCCGTTACGCAATCCCGAGGTTATCGGGACCGAATCACTAGGAACCAAAACACGAAGATCGCTGGGCGATAACAACCCCTTAGTTCCCACAAATTAACCCTTTAAATTTGCGTGACCTTCCGCGAGACATCCCGGAGCGAAATGAGTCGTGCACGACTGGCCACCCTTCTGTCCGTTCCCGAAGGGTGGAGAGATGACGATCCGGTGATTCCGGGAAATTGATGACGTCGCGAAGGGAACGAGCGTCGCGACGGTGTGTGTGGCAGCTGCAACCACCGGAGACTGTCAGCCACGTTTTCTTCTATCGACCGTATCGCACTGCGGCGACGAATAGCACTGGCGGCTTTACCTCGTGGCGCGCAGGTTTCATACGGGCGCGCGCGCGGGCAAGAGCGCACCCTTTGTGTACGAGAGTACACACAGGTGGCGGATGCGAAACTGAATGTCTGATACGACAGAAATGCTAATTATGGAATTCGACGTTTGGTTCTTTTGTTTTTCGGGAAATTTTTGGGTCGAGGTGGGAATGTTTGGAGTAGGGTGAGGTTGGTGTTTACGTAATGGATGTAATATGATGGTCGGTACACAGGGCGAATTGGTGATGGAATGTGAATGTGTAATTTGGAATTTGAGGGTGGGACCAGTATTTTGTATGGGAATATGTATGGTAGCGGACAGGTTGTGACTTTTGAGAACACGGTGGAAATAATAATGAGGTGCGACAAGGAGAGAAAGTTGATACTGAATATTTCAAATTTCTGTATCCGAATAATAGTTTTCAAGTTTTCAAATTTTCAAATTTAAGAACTTTCATGTAAAAAAGTTGAAGAGTTTGAAAATTAGGAGAATTATTAATTTTATGATTTAGACAGGAATCTGGGAATCTAGGAGTGTGGGAATTCGAGACTTAAACAATTTAAAAATTTAAGAATGTAGACATGTACAAATTTTGGAATGCTAGAATTTAGAAATGTAAGAATGCAGAAATGTAGGAATTTAGAAGTACGGCAATTTGGAAATGTAGGAACTTGGGAACGTAGGAATTTAGAAGTGTAGGAACCCAGACATGACAGGCCGTACAAATGTAGCGATTTGGAAATGTAGGAAGCTACGAATGTAGAAAGCTAGAAATGTAGAAAGTTAAGAATGTAGAAATTCGAGAACATAGAAGTTTGTACACATAGAAATTCAGAAATATAAAAATTAAAAAATACAAAAACCCACAAACCTTAAAATTCCTAAACACAAAAATTCAAAAGTATAAAAATTTCAAAATATACTAATACCGAAATATAAAAATGTAGGAACTTAGAAATCTAGAATTTCAGAACACTAATTTAGCAATCTAAAAATATAGAATCGCATAAATTTTTAAATTCGCAATTTTTCAAGTAGAGCTTCTCTACGACCACCTTAAAAAATTCGTCACGTTCGAACTGTAAAACGTGGGAAAACAGAACGAGGGTGAAAACGTGCCATGCTATGCATATATAGTGATATCTCATTTGGTGCATCCGAACATTTTTAGGTTTAATCCTATTTTCTTTGATTATCGAACAGTTTATTGCTTCAATGTTTGCGTGCTTAATTTATATTCTCCCGGTAGAGACCTACATCTCATTATTCTTCGTAATCGTTATTTGCCCGCTTCCGTTCGTGATTAATGAACCCATAATTAATATCCCCGGCATTGTACGCCGGAGTTTAATCAAGGTTTAAGGGCGTTTAACCTTTTCTGCCCCTAATTTGTTTTTACAAGTGAGAAAAGTGTTTTTATATCTCGTGAATCATCGAAGTACTCAACCTGTAATATATGGGCTGTGCGAAACTTTCGATTGTATCGATAGATTATAGAGAAAGGTTAATGATTTTAAGATAGACAAAATTGAATGTTACTACTTTTTGTATATTTATTAACCTGTGGAATATGAAGGCCAGTTTTTCTAAATTAAATGTAGTGTAATTTTTTAGACATTCGCTATGAGAAAATAAATATTGATCCATGAGCTAGATTTATTAATACATAAAAATATAATTCTGCTCTATATGTATCAATTTGTCTATCTGACGATCAATACATTAAATTATGCTCCGCTTGACACCATTTAACTTTAATCTGAAATGTTCGGTATAATCGATAACTTCGAAGATATAGGTTATGTTTGTATCATCGACGAGACTGTAAGAATAAGCTCATGAACTTAACAATATATTAAAACCGAAAAGTTTTCCCTTCTAATGTACTAATCCTCGTTTAAGAAAATTCTAATGCGCACGAAAGTCGATAAGGTGGCAATATATCGAAAGTCCACTGTATCTTAATTCAAAATCTAAAGTGATTCAACCTACACATGCATAATCGCTAAACGCTATATGATATAACACGTGGCATCTTTGAATTAATAACATGACTTTAAAACGTCAAGAAAATTAATGATTTCATTCGAAATCGCACGGGGAGAAAGTGTTCGAAGCGCAGAGGATGCTCGAAGATGCGACGTGATTAGCCCGCGATATAAATTTTCATTTAATTTTTTAACGAAGTAAACCTCGCAGGTTGGAAACTATGCAGAGTGAGTCTGCGCGATCGTTATGGGAGCAATTAGCAAGCTTGCAAAATATTCGCGAGTTGGCAGCCGGCCATGTTATCTGCACAATAAACTTACAGATAATTCCAAGGTCCGCGACTGCACATAACAAGCGATTCGTAGGAATGCTACTTACGAAACTATAACTCGGCGAGATTATGTTAGAAAATTAATTACGGAAATGCTTCGCCTATTAATAATATGACTAAACATTGTATTCACGGGAATGGGACACTTTTTGCGACTTCTCGAGAATTATGGGCACGTGCTGTTGCGTATTTGAAATAACTTTATAAATTTCAATGGAATATTATTATAAATTTTCAAATTTTACTAGGTACTCATCATATTGGTAATTCATCAATTTTTCAATCTTTCCATTTTTCAATTTTTCAATTTTTCAGTTTTTCAATTTTTCAATTTTTCAATTTTTCAACTCTTCCATTCTTCAATTCTTTAATTCGTCCATTCTTCCATTTTTCAATTCTTCAATTCTTCAATTCTACAATTCTTCAATTCTTCAATTTTTCAATCTCTCAATTCTTCAATTCTCCACTGTTTCAATTCCTCAACTCAACAAATTTTAGATTCCAATCGCAATTACACCAATTTATAGACAAATTGTTTTTCCAATATCATGATATTCATACTCCCTTTAATCATCATCTCTCATAAGCCAGAAACAATTACAATAAAATAATTCATAAACGTACAATGAAAATAAACATCCAGCAGATAATTTGTATATAACGACAAATAATTTCGTCACATTCAATGTTATAGACTTTTAAGGCGTAGAATACTGAAAGGAAAGTTACTAATTACTCAAATAAGAAATGTTCACCCACATAATAAATCAAAGCCTGATGTTTATTGGCTTCAGAACAACAGACATGCAAGCACATTTGCGAGGAACGTGGCAGAGTTCTTATTTAGAAAAAGTTGGGTGTGTCGCATAACTGAGTTGGGCTAAATGGGGTCTGCTAAATCCGTTCTGAAATGCATAAAGAAGAATAAAATAACCTTTCGTCATCGAAGCGTACGATATTTATTACCGATACGTTTTCTATAATATTTCTAAACAATCCATATTTATCCGCGTACCAGAAAATTATCTTCTCTATTGGACGCTGAAATAGCTCGTATAAATAGATCTCCGGGTTTCATCCAGAAACGATTAATTCGCGTTTAATCAAAGCTAGCGTAACATCGGTTGAACGTCCGGCAAAAGGAAGCTGAAGACTAGTTGCCAAGATTAATCGTTCATAGGTGAAGTCGAATTCTCGAGGGGTTCAGCCACCGCCCAGTATCGCTTAATTACCTTCGTAATGAACCATCGACCTCGATAACGACCAATTAAATCAGATGGTAAACGATTGATTGACTGTTGGTTGTCCTGCGTTCTCTGTGATGGTCTCGTTTTGCTTCACTTGTTATATATTAGATGAAATGGTGGACTTTGGATTAGTTATATAGGTCATGTGGATTATATAGGTTAAATAGATCATGCAGATTATGTAGATTGTAGAGATCATATGTATTGGTTATATAGATCATACAGTTTATGTGGATTACATAGGTTATGTGGGTTTTGCAGGTTATGTGGGTTGTATAGGTTATGTGGGTTATGTAGGTTATGTGGGTTGTGTAGGTTATATGGGTATTGTAGGTTATATAGGTTGTATAGGTTATACTGATTATAGAGGTTACATCAAATTGCTAGACCCTAAATTTCTGCATTCTTCAATTGTTAAATTCCTCAACTTCTTAATTACCAAACTTCCAAATCATTAATTTTGAAATCACAACATGTAAGAGCTCCCAAATTTCCCAATTCTTAAAATGACCAAAACCACAGAACTTAAACTACCCTTATGAAAAATCTCCACAAGGTACCTACACACAATCTCAAGAGCCTCTATCAAAATTTAATATCAAGTGTACCATTCTGAATAAAATCGCACGTACATTGTACAAATCCTAGATTGATCAAATACCGACCCACATAATAAAAGGTCAGCGAACAGAACGGCATACACGACTTTTATCCGCTTCGATAAAAAGCAAACCTTAGGACAATCTTGACCCGAGGTTAAATATGTCGTGTTAATTATCAAAGCAATCCGTAACGAGGCTGCAGACTGGCGATTAATTAGCAACGTTCAGAAGGTTGGCGTTTTGCGCTTCGATTTCGTTGAACAGTGAACGTTAACGAGCGATTCGACGCTTACGATGAACGAGATACGAAGTCGGTGCTTATGATGCACGCGAGCTTATTACTATTAGGTGATGAGAACGGAGACGGTAAACGAATACCGCATTTATAACGTCTCGCGAGCACCGGCACACGAGAATCTGGCCAACGGCCACATAACTCGGGTTTCGCTGGAAACGCGAGCAAATCGAGGAACAAGAAGAAGAATCAATCCGAGCGGTGGCCTACGTACGAACGCGAACTATGCAGAATGCGTAGAAGGGGAGAAAAAATCACGCGTGACGTTCGCGTGAATTATAACCGCGATCAGTTTCAGTTCTTGGATACATTTCACTCTGAAAGGGGATATGGGTTTTAGGTAAAAGCGGATCGCTTCTTTACATTATCACGGGATTACTGATACTGATGCTGATGATGTTCAAGTATAAGCAATTATCGATTATTTCATTTCATTGTATATTACATTATTTTACGTTTCTACGTCAGTGATGGATCGAGTGTCAGGTAAAGAGTTAATGAGTTGGTGGATTCAGAGTGATTAACATTGG